AAAAATATATATCAATGTATATTGATTAGATATGAATAATAATCAAGATATTACTATAGATTAGTGTATATAGGATGTTAATAGCTGGCTGGTTTCCTGGGCAACTCTGACTTTTACGCATATTTTATTCAGATTAATCGGAAAATAATTCCCGATAATTCGAATTTCTGTGTAAATCGAAGAAACAAAAAACGGATCCCCTTGCCATTTCGAATTATCGGAATTCTACTGTATATACATATGCATATATACATATATGTCTTAAGAACTTTGTCACTTCTTGAGTGCAGCCAAAAACAGAGTATCTCAGCAATCGATAGCTATCGACTGCAAGTTAGACTCTATATATTATTATATTATATACAGAAATCTAATTAACATTTATATGTATAATGAAAAAAACGAGTTATTTAAAGCATCAGCATTTTCCCCATCTCAATGCGCAACTTCATATCAACTGCGAGCTGCATTGAATATCAAATTTCGTTTGCACAATTCTCGCTGTTTACTCGTTCGATAACTCTGACAGTGTTTTAAAGCGCAGCGAAAGAATGTCAAAGAATTGCGCTTATACGTGAGTCAGATCACGTTGATTGTTGCATTATTATTATTTTGCCTGTTGGYCTGTTGGCTGAGCAACTCACATGACGTTCCGCGTGCCACTCGATGCGCCACATTTTGAGCGCAGTCATCATTTGTCGCTGTCGCTGTCGTTGGGGCAATTAAAGGCGAAAAGTGTGGCCGCGGGATGTTGGCTGACTGAAAGCTGCCAAAGATGTGATATAAAAACAGGAAGAGGCAGAGGCAGACGAAGAAGGGAAGATGAACAGCACAGCTAATTTAAATATGAAAAACATTTCCTATTTCCTGTACGAGCAATGGGAAAATTCGGTCAGTCCGAATGCAGAAGGGCAAACACTCGGAGGCTCTTGGATGCTGTTTGGGAAGGCGGTGCTGGCCTGTCGTTGGCAAAATTCAATCACAGGCCATAGCAACCGCAGCGATCTCTCACTCTCTCTGGCAGCGTCCCTTATAGCCATATGTTGCCCGGTTGGCCACATGCAGCGACGCTGGCGTATACGTAACGTACATATTATTCATACGCAGCGTGACATCGGAAAGAAAATGGGATTGGGATTGGGATTGGGATTGGAATTGGGACTGCGAGTACCAACCAAATAAAATACGTTCTTTTCGCGTATTAAATTTGCCGCCTCAATTGCCGCTGACGCTGCCAAACGAGCCAACATTTTTTGACATGCGCCCAATGCAAATCACACCCCAAAAATATGTGTGTGTGTGTGTGTGTGCCACTTCTGATGTGTGTGTGTGTGTGTGTGTGTTTCTGCATGGCTTTGAGTGGCCTCTTGTGTTTTTAATAAAAATGCATCCCACACAGATTTGTCATGCAGTCGGCAAAACCCAAAAACACAAAAACAAAACAACAACAACAACTAAATGTATCCATATTCTGTGCATTTGCATTTCACACATGCGTCAAAAAGCTGAGCTGTGAAATACCAAAATCGAATTTCAGTTATTTCATTAAGAAGCAACTATCATATTTCACTCAGCAAGGATTAGGGTTAAATGTAATACAAAGATAAGTAAGTATAAAGAAAGTTGTTACAGATTATTGCAATAATTCTTATAAGAGTTAATTTATATAAGACATCACACTTAGACTTGAATTTGGAAGGTATTGCAGCAGAAAAAACAATCTTTAGGCAGATCTGATCTTGTTAAAACATATGTAAGAGGCAGAAGTAGCTACGGCAAAGCCGATAAAATATATACAAACCTGGTTGGGATTTTTAGCTGAGTCAATCTCGTCACGTTCGCATGGCCACCACAAAAGCTAGAGATTTGACATCTTTAACATCTATACAAGAATAGAAATAATATACAGATACCAGATGATCGATTAAAATCGATAATTTTTTTATCGATTTTTAAGCGTGCCTTAATTATTACAATAGAGGAACGCTTAAAATTCACTGTTTGTGATTTCTGTAATGAATACAGAGATTTAGTATATTTTGCATTTTGGATAGCTCCTTCTTCTCATCATATATCAAATACTAGAGACTCGTAATATAGTGCTTTAGAGACTTATGCTTTAAAAAGTACATTCAACTGGATGGCATTATTACACTCTGCAAACTTGATAAAGAAGCTCCATTCAAAAATAGGATTCCAAGCTTTAGAAATTTTGTTTGTTCGGGAAATACTATTAGGTTTCTCATATACAGGTAAAGCAGGTAGTCAAGTTTATGCATCTGACTGACATATATGACCCTAAAATGTACTGGAAATACTATTAAGCTTCCCATATTATACCTAATTATAGCTCATATGAGAAACTCAATAGTATTTCCAGTACATCTTAGGATCAGATTTGCCAATCTACTTGCCTAACTGCAATACTCAAGCTCTTCATGAGCTATTTGCTGTTGAGGGAGTTGAGAGTTACGTTATGGGATTTTATGAATTATTCTAAATTATAATATTTATGGAATATCTAAAATTGAAACACTTAGCAGTTTAGCAATTTAGAAACGTTTTGGATGAATCTTGAAAGAGTGCGTATGCTATGTTGCTTTCATTTGTATGTGTGTTGTTTGTGCGTGTGTCTGTGTCTCTGGCTGTTTCTTAATGTTTATGAACAATTTCATCAGGCACTTGACTCGATTCGATGGCGACTGCGCTGCGCCCACGTTGTCTGTCAGTCACGAGATTTGATGTTACGCCGGCTGACCCGCAGTTGGCCGCAGTTGTTTATTAGATGCAGCGCCGCTCGTGGTTAAGTGGGCTGTGAGCTAGTGGGCGTGGCGGGCGTCAAATGATTAACGTAATCGGCAAGCGGCCGTGTCTGTGTGCAATCGACTAGGGGGAAATTGAAATCGAAAATTGAAAATCAAAATGAAAAGCGACGCCGGCCCAGGCGGCGTATGAGTAATAGGCCTATTGGACTCATTATCTCTCTCACACACAAACAGAGGAGATGAAGAAGAACAAGTAGGTTAGCTAAATTAAAAATTGCTCGAAATTATTATTAGAATTACGTGTGTGCGCGCAGTTGCGACTAACTAGCGAGAGAGATTAAAAATAAACGTTAGTAGTTAGAATTATAAATATGCATATTAGGATAGCGCGCTCTCGCTCTCCCCTTCATTGCCACTCTATCTCGCCCTCTCTCTCTATCTCTCGCTGTCTTATGTAATGAGCGTTCATTAAGCGCACAACAACAACACACCAAAAATAAAAAATAATTGCAGATCGCTCAAAGGCAGCCAAATGGCAATTTGAGTTGAGAATTTATTAAACATTAGCGTAGGTAAGTGCGCGTCTAGAGTGAAAACAACAACAACAACAACAGCAACAAGCAGCAACACGAAGGCGCTTGACACAGCGTGCGTGCGAGCGAGACGGACAGCGAATGAAATTAATTTTGCGTGAATTGTTGGAAAACAAGAAAAGCGAGAGATAGACAATCAGGTGGAAGGCATTATAGTCAGCAAATTCTGCTCTCTACGGCTCATAATGAAGTGGATCATAATGATAATGACTGATGATGATGATGATGATGATGATGTTGCTGTTCTTGTGTTATGTCAGGCAAGGACGCGCTGCCTGACTTGCCGGACATTGGATATGTCAACCGTGCGTGTGTGTGAGTGTCCCTCTGCGTGTGTGTGTGCGTGTTTGGCATAGCTATCTAACAGGGTGCACTATTAGTTTAGCTTTGCTTCAAGTCATTGTGGCCTATACCTATTCATATTAGATGTTTCCAATGATCTAGTTTTTCTTTTTGGCATTTCTTTGATGAACTTTTAATATCTCTAAACTAAACTAGACGATAGACTGTAGCTCATACTCTCTCTGTGATCGAGATCATTAATATACCACGAAAATGAAGTTTATTGACTTCTGCTTAGATTAAGTAACCTGTAAGAGTGAATATTAAAAATAATTGAAAAAAAAAATTAATCATTAGAGAAGGGAGAGATTTTCAATGAGAGCAAATGCTTACAGCGACTCGAACAAATCTCTCCTTAGTATTTCTGTTCTCTGCTCTTACTGTCCCTGGTCTTACCCCCTTTGTGCTTCTTCTTCTTCTGCGAATCGCATGACCTATGTAAGCTATAGCTATCTATGCTGAGCATGAGTCTAAGGCACTTTATAAGTTAATAATAAAAACTATTTATTTTGGTTTGAGATATTTGAATTTTATTTAGATTTTATAGCGATGATTAGCTGCATATAAGCAACCAATAATAATTAATTTCACATATTATTAGAAAAATTCTTAAAATTGAATCGACTTCTCTTGAAAACTAAATAGCTGATATTCCTCCATTTG